ATTCATGAATTTAATTGCAATTAAAAATTTAAGAACATATCATAATTTTGTACCTCTTTCTCATAGAAAATATTCAAGTTCTGAGAAGTTTTAAATTGTTAAAAATAAGAAAAAAACAAAAAATATTCTAAATAAACCTTTTTTGACTTACTCCGTATACGACTAAAAAAAAATAATATTTGTGGGTTACATTTTAAGTTTTACACCATGCAGAACTTTTTATGAAGAATAACTTTTTTTCCTAAAATTAATAATAAAAAAGTTTTCCATATGATTCCAAGATACTGAGACATACTGTATATATATATATATATATATATATATATATATATATATATATATATATATATATCTATGTATATAGATAAGTAATTTTCATTAATAAAAAACAAATTATTATAACTTCACTTTCTTCAGATTTAAATGATCATTATAGTCGCCCCTGGCATAAATGAAAAAAATCTGACATCTGTTAAAAAGTTTCAACCTTACTTTTTCCCAATTTAAAACCCAGTTGCATGAAGCCCACAAGTATAAATGAAGTTCGGACTATTGACATTAGCCAATCAGTGATGCCTAACAAAGTGAATAAAGAGTTAATTGTTTCCGTTGTCAGGCGGGGCAGTTATAATGGTTACCATTGTAATAAATTATAATAAAAAAAAGAAATAATGTTAATAATATGAAATAGGAGTGGAAAAATATGATTATATTATTATATTGATTATATTACTGTATTTGTTATTAGAATATATTAATCTGTTGTACCTATTGTTACTTTAGATTTAATTTTTTATTAGTATTAGAAAACAAATAAATTTTGTTAATATTAAAAGTTTTGATATTTAATTACACGTTATAGGCGTGGTAAATTATAAAATATTTCTAAAAACAAATATTTTTCAGGATATGCATGCGAAAAGTGCGGAAAAAAGTATGCGATATTTCTTTCATTAAAAAACCATCAAAGAATTTACTGTGGAAAACAACCAACACATGAATGTGATAGGTGCAGCTATAAAACCTATCATAAAACTTTTCTTGCTAGGCATTACAAACGCCATTTAAAAAAATAAATTATTATTATAAATAAATTCTTGTTGTCTAAATGTTAAAATTAAACAACCCACAAAGTAATTTAAGTTATTTTATTTTCCTAGTTTTAAATAATTATTATAATTATTATAATCATTGCCAGGTTTACAACATTTTTTTCTTTTAGATCAAGTAAAGCCATACAAGTGCAGAAGTTGTGGAAAATTGTATAAATATAGAAACACACTGTATTCTCACGAGAAGTTTGAGTGTGGAAAGAAACCTCAATTTTTGTGTCCTTATGTAAATTGCTCGCATGCCTCAAAACTTAAAGGGAATTTAAGAAAACATATATTAAGTTGTCATAAAAGTTACTAAGGATGCTATATTTTTAAAATAAACATCTTATGTTATATAACACTGGCACTTTTTGTTGCTGACTTGACAAAAACTTGGGCATTTTGCTCAATCAATGTTTTAGTCAAAATGCAGCAAAAATGTTTTTTTTACTTTTATAATTATTAATAGGTTTAAGTATTGGTTTGTAATTAAAATTGTAATTTCTTGGAGGTTAAGTAGAATAGCATTTGCTAGACCTGGCAGCAATAAATAAAGTCCATTATTATTATTGTTTTTATTATTAAAAATGTTATTATTATTATTACATTAATTTTATGTCAGATGGTTAACTTTACTTTTTACCAATTTTAAATTTTATTATACGTGAATAATGAGTTTATTGTTAGTGCAAGAAATTTTTAATGTTTATCATTGTATACGGAAAAACTCAATATTATGCAATAGGGGTAGATAATTTTTTTTTAATAGATATTGCAATTTTTTTAATCATGGTTTTTGTAAAAGAAATAATTTTTCATATTATGTATAAAGTTTGTAAACCGGCTGGTCACGATCTTTCTTGCAGGTCAAGAATAGCCAGGAAATTTGCAATGTCATCGAGGATCTTACCGTAAGATTCTTACTCGGTATATTCTAGAAATGTTAAGGGGTTTTAATGTTAGCTTAGATTAAGAGGCTTAGTTTTCCGAAACCGATTAAAGCATAGACAAATTAAAAGAGTGGACGCCTAACGCCTACTGTTGTGTATTGAAGTCAAGTATTAAAAAACTTAACCAAAGATAACCTCGAAGTGACAATTTTGTTTTGGATAAGTTTTAAGAGTTTTTCAGAAAACGTATTTTTTATGAAATATAATTTGTTTTTTATTTTAAACAATAGAGAAAGGTTTGAAATTTTAATGAAAAAAAAAATCAGCCAAACAGCCTCCACGATCTCTCCTGCACACCCAGACTCTTTTGGTGAAATTTTCTAAAAATGTATAGATATTAAAGATTTAAGGTAATAATTTATTGCCAATAAAATCTGAGTTTTTCCAAATGTTTTTGTTCAAATGTTTTTGTTCAATGCATATATTTTTTCCCAAGAAGAAAAGGTAGGTATGTAATTATTTTTTATTTATTTAAAATAAATCGTAAAGATTTGCCAATCGTACCGTTTTCTCTTTATTATTATTTTTATTTTGTTAGGTTTTTAAAAGGTGAAGTTTCATATCCCCATTTTTATCATCAACATATATTAAGATTATATTATATTATAGTAAAACGCTATTTAAACCTCATTTCAGTAGGGTTAAATACAATTGTGGGGCAAAAGGTTAGCATAATAAAGAAAACAATAATTGTTATTTTTATTGTCTATTACTTGAAATTTGAAAATAATAACTTAGGAATACCTCAGGGTATCGTACTGTTTATAATTTATATGAACGAGGTACTATTATCATCCACTATTATGCATACTAGTCAGAGTCCGATAGGTAAGACACCCATTGTAGTGTGCTTGTGAATTATGTAGGTCGATGCTTTACCAATAATAAGATTTGGTGTCAATAGGGGAAACGAAATTTGTTTATTATTTAGAACCGAAACGTAAATTTCCCAAACACCTAATAATATTTTAAGTCTATGCAGGATGAATCCAACATCTGTTTCTAGGACGGTGTTTAAAAAAATGTGGTTTTAAAAATGACGGAGGTGATTTTTTTGATAATTAAAAAAAAAGTTTTATTTAACATGGGTCCGAAAATGCACCGTTTTTATATACAGGGTGTTTTAATTTTTTTGACGATATCTCAGGAATCGATACAGAAAATGACGTTTTTCTCTAAGAGCTTTTGACCAAAAGTAGCTTCTTGCAGTTCAAAATGTGCTTTTGAAATTCCAATCTCTCTAGTTTCATAGAAATTAGGGACAAAAAAACGCCACGATACCCTAAAAGCTGTCGCTGACATATAAAAAGTGGATATATCCTATAGTTTCTATTAATAGTAAGAATAATGTAAGCTGAGTTTTGTATATCAAACAATTCCTAAAATATCGTCAAAAAACATAAATATTTATCTAGAAAACGGTGGGCTACAGACCCATGTTAAAAGGAACTTTTTTTCTTAAAATTAGCCAAGGAATTCCACCCTTAATGTTTTAACACATGCTTGAAAACACCCTGAATACGAACGTGGTTTCTCGTTTATGTTCAATATTCTTCAAATATTTAAAATCGTTTTAAAATCGAGGCAGTACATACAAGAGCTGCCAATTTTAAATATTAATGGTTTTATTACAAGTTAATCAAATTCTTTGACAGTAATATTTTTTTTTGTTCAGAATTTTTATTTTTGCATATACCTACTTAATTAATGAATTGACGCCTATTATTCCTATCAATATACCATTTATATTGGGAGTATTAATAGGCGTGTCAGAATTTACGAATAAAGTAAATATAACTGTAAAACAATTTTACATACATAACAAACATAACAAAACCATCAAACAACGTGACGTCACGCTACCGAGAGAATTTATGGATTTTCAGTGATTTTTAAGGAAAAATTGATAGCAAAAATGTTTTATTTTTAACGGTATGGCTGGTTTTAATATCTAATCTTAATAAAAGAAAAATTGAATAAAGTTGCATTTCGCTTCATTTAATTAAAAAATATGAAGATTTGGATGTCCAAAAAACTATTTATTATGCTTATTATAATTCTATTTTAAGGTATTGTGTGAAAATAATAGAATTTTAACTTTTGTGGCTTTCTATATTTATGAAATTTAATTATTTGTTTTTAAAAATTGGAGTGTGTTTTAGTAGCAGCTCTCCTATTAATGATATAATTTTATGATATACTACCCCTTGGATTGGCAACCCAAAATATCGTAGAATATGTCCGAACAAAATTTAATATCCTGTTAAAAGCGGAGCTCATAATTTCAATTTTAAGAGGTCCTTCATCGATTCTGAAGTTTTGCCGCTTAAATAGCACAGAAAACTGACTTTTTTACCTTATTTATTCTTGCAACCTGGGAAGAAATTTTTTTTTTCATAAAATTCATGACTGAATCTTTTTTCGTCCAAATTTAAAGCTTTGTAAGAATTAGTCATGGATTTCATGAAAAAAAATTCTTCCTAGGTTGCAAGAATAAATAAGGTAAAAAAGTCAGTTTTCTGTGTTATTTAAGCGGAAAAATTTCAGATTCCATGAAGGACCTCTTAAAATTGAAATAATGAGCTCCGCTTTTAACAGAATATTTGTTCGGACATATTCTACGATATTTTGGGTGGAGAGCAAGAAAAAAAAAATATCGAGTTTTTTTGGCACACCCTACTGTACATATTCAAAACTGTTAATGTTTTAAGAAATACAAACAATAATTTTATTAATTATATTGTTTATTTATTATTTAAATTGGATTATTTAAATAAAATAGAACCATATGCTCTGGATGAATATTTAAATTATAACCATGTATAATATTTTTGTGTTTATACTGACAATATTTATTTAAATATGTATGTACCTTTGAATATATATATCTATTTATTTAGAAATAAACTTATTATTATTTAAATTATTATTATTATAATAACTCTTCCTCTTTTTCAGTTTATGGACAAAACAACTACAAAATGGACGAGATAATTCGGCAGCAGACCAAACGTGATAACGAGATCAAGCCACACATAAAAAGACCGTTAAACGCGTTCATGGTGTGGGCAAAAGACGAGCGAAGGAGAATTTTGGACGCCTATCCGGACATGCACAACTCCAACATATCAAAAGTCCTAGGCGCCAGATGGAAGGATATGTCGAACTTAGAGAAACAACCTTACTACGAGGAACAATCCAGGTTATCAAAGTTGCACATGGAGCAACACCCTGACTATAGATACAGGCCGAGGCCTAAGAGGACTTGTATTGTGGATGGAAAGAAGATGAGAATATAATTAATAAGTTAAAAGCTTAAATACAGGCCTAAATAATGTCAGCTTCATACAATTACAATTATTTAAATAGATAATTATTAAGATTTAAACTTAAGGTGCAACTTTTAAAAAATGCTAAAAGCCTACTTTTTTTATAAGTTTATTTGTGTAAACGATAGGAATATACAATTTTAACTTTTAACCTAAACACCTGAAAACCCAAACAAAAATAAAAAATCTATTTTTAATTTTGTGTTTAAAAAATAATTTTTCTTATTAGATTTAACTTTGTGTCACCGGTTATAAACATAAATATATAAAAACTAATCAAGTACTTCTTTTAAAACACAAACATTTTTAGGTTTTAAAATCTTATTTTTTTTAGTTAAAATAATATATATAATCAACTTACTTAGTTTCTTATTTTACTTAGCAAATGTCTCTTTTGAAAAAAAAAATCTTAAATTTACCCAAAAAATATATTAATACATTTTATTATATAGGTACCTATTTATATTATAATATTTTACAAGTATATAGTATTTAGGCCGGTCTTCAATTGTCGCATAATGTATTTTACGTCTTCGTCAACCAACCCCAGTGCTTGATATGTCCATTTTAAGTATTTTGATTGGTTGACGTAAGTGATAAAATATTCATTTTGGGACAATTGAAGACCGGCCTTTAAGAAATCGTACAATAACACAGTAACACACACACTCCTACACACCATAACGGACATTTTATGTAATAGCAATTCGAAAATTTTGAATAAAATATTGTTTCTCTTTCTAAATACAAATTATTAAAAAAATGTATATAATTTATTTTTTCCGGTTAAATTGAGACCCATAGTAACATTACCAAGGCTCTTCGGTTAAATAATTTGAATAACCAAAATTTGTGTATATTTTAAAAGGCGCGTTTTTTATATTGCTGTTTAAATATTTAAGGGTAGACATTTTTTTCCCTTTTAACTTTGGAAGAAGTTGATTATTTAAAAATGTAGGTAGTGATAAAATATGAAAAATCGCAATTTAACAAAGTCCAACTAGATAATCTGTTAAGGAAATTTAACTTCCTATAAATTTGTCATTTACATTTTTAGTCTAGTTATTTATAAAATTATAGCAAATAAACTGAAATTTTATACAATAAGCTGCAACGGACACTTGTGTAAATCGTGTAATTTTAAGTAAAATATGTATATATTTTTTGAAATGTTAAAAAATTTGAATTTTTTAAAATTTTTATTTTAATTAAACCTTTAACTTTAATTATTACAGTAACACACACACTCCTACACACCATAACGGACATTTTATGTAATAGCAATTCGAAAATTTTGAATAAAATATTGTTTCTCTTTCTAAATACAAATTATTAAAAAAATGTATATAATTTATTTTTTTCCGGTTAAATTGAGACCCATAGTAACATTACCAAGGCTCTTCGGTTAAATAATTTGAATAACCAAAATTTGTGTATATTTTAAAAGGCGCGTTTTTTATATTGCTGTTTAAATATTTAAGGGTAGACATTTTTTTCCCTTTTAACTTTGGAAGAAGTTGATTATTTAAAAATGTAGGTAGTGATAAAATATGAAAAATCGCAATTTAACAAAGTCCAACTAGATAATCTGTTAAGGAAATTTAACTTCCTATAAATTTGTCATTTACATTTTTAGTCTAGTTATTTATAAAATTATAGCAAATAAACTGAAATTTTATACAATAAGCTGCAACGGACACTTGTGTAAATCGTGTAATTTTAAGTAAAATATGTATATATTTTTTGAAATGTTAAAAAATTTGAATTTTTTTAAATTTTTATTTTAATTAAACCTTTAACTTTAATTATTATATAAACGTTTTAATTTACGATTTTTTTTGTAAATCATTCAATTCTCTACAAATGTACGTATTTTCCATTATTGTCGATATTATATAAATTTATAAAATTTTAAACACCAAAAAAGTTTTTCCCATGTTGTTTTTCATAGAAAATTTTAATTAGAGTTCAAACTTGAATTTTTTTCTATCAATTTGAAAGCGTCTAGGGGAGCATAACAATTCGAAAATATCCCAAATAAGGACCACGAATTAAAATAATAATAGGTATAAATATTATTATAAAGAAAGTGCATTTTTAAATGGCTGTGAAAATTATATTGTTTCTAATTTCTTACACTATATACTCGCAGCAATTACCCACCAAATTTAACACATGTAAACATATCATTCGTATGTAGATATTACGTTACAGCTTAATTCTATAAAATAGATTTGGTAACACGGTCATTTCACGTCATATCAAACAGTGCAGATCACCACACCGACTCAGATTTTCCTAAAATTTTGTTTAGATGATATATAGGTTATGATAACAAGAAATCTTAGTTTTGAAGGTTCCACGATAATTAATTACCGAGAAATTAAAGTTTTAATAAAAATTGTGATTTTAATTAAATGTAATTAAAATTTAGAGTATTTATTTAAACCCAAAATACTTAAGGCTTATGGATGCAAAAATATTAATTAGTAAGTAAAACTTGACACATCTGTCTACTTAGTTTAAACTACAGATATTTAATAATATGATTAGTAAATAAACACTAACCCATTTATTTTTTAGAATTAAAGTATGCCTGCAAAAATTGTGGAAAAAAATATAAAGTTCGGACGGCAGTATATAATCATGAAAAATACGAGTGCGGTAAAAAACCTCAATTTACTTGTCCGTTTAAGGACTGTTACCATGCCACCAAGTTAAAGGGAAATCTACAGAAACATATAAAAAATATTCATAAATCAGCATTATAAAAAACTTGTATGTTTATTTATTATAAATTAATTTAAGATTTTAGTTTTTATATTTTTTATGAATGTACTTATAGTGATTTTTTTATTTAAATATAAACGATTAAATTTTTCTTCTAGGAATTTAAGATTCTTAAAAACTAGAAATTTCATAATATATTAATTTAGAGGATAGTAGATACAGGTATAATCTTTATTTATGCAGGAACCTTGGCAATATTTATTTATTTTTTGTCTCCACCTACCACTAAAATGGTATCCTCTAAAATTTAGAGTCTAAATTAAAAAGAAAGAGTACGGTTTAAATTTGAAAAATCCTTGTCATTTTGCTTTAATGAATAAAAAACTTTTATTTAGTTGTTTTTTTCTTTACTTTGGTTATAATATTTTTTAATTAAATAAATTTTAACCCATCTTATATACACATCAGATTATGTGTGTAAAATCTGTTTAAAATAAAATAAAATTATTGTTTTGTAGGATAATATAAAATCCATCTAACAAGTCCAGCAATAGAATTGAATTTGTTAAAAATTACTTGGTCTGTTAGGTCTCCGGACCTAATGGTACATGTAAATGTTTTCTTCGGTTCAAATGTATTCTTTGTTTTAACGTAATTATTCAATTTTATTGCAAGACGTCGTATAATGAAACAATCATTAATAAATTTATATTTTAGCGAAGTTTTCATGTCCTGATTGTAATAGAAAATATAGAAACAAGTACACCATGAAATACCACATGTTAAGAGAATGTGGACAAGTTGCCCAGTACAAATGTTCATTTAATCAATGTAACTATAAATCCAAAATTAAAAGTAATCTTAAAAGACACATGGTCACAAAACATGGCATTTCCAAAGATGATAACATTAATAATTATATTATTTGTTAAATGTATTTTGTGTGTGATATTATACTGATAAATGATTTTAAATTAAATTAGTATTTTTAAACATGTGGCATAAAGTTGTATAAATACCTTTTGATATAGATGTAGTTAAAAAAATAATTATAAATGTATATTTTAGCAATGCACGGTTGTCCCGATTGTAATAGAAGATATAAAAGTAAATACACTTTGAAATATCATATGTTAAGGGAATGTGGACAAGCTGCACAGTATCAATACTGTTCATTTAATGGATGTCTTTTTAAAACCATTAAGAAAAGCAATCTTAAAAGACACATGGTGACAAAACATGGAATTGCCAAAAGGGAAAGCGTTAGCAATTATATTATTTAATGAATGTTTTGGAGGTAACTTATTATTTGGTAAAAGGTTTTATTTAATAAATGTTTAATTAATCATTGTTTTATTTTTAATATTTTTTAAATTCTAAATGGCTTCGTTGGAAAAATGGGGAATAATATCATTATTTTCATATTTTATGAAGAAAAGTATATATTATAATATATTATGTTGTCAAGGACTTATGTCTTGTCTTACGTAAGGTGTTCTATAAGAAACGAAACGGGACTCTAATTTTAGACACTTTTTTGTTATTTGGAGAACTCAGACATAATCATGGGTTCTTTATAACGTGATTTGTTGGTCTAAAACTTGATTGCACAGAATTCAAATTCGACTTAAGACTCGCACCATAACTTTTATGAAAAATTCTTGCAAAACCTGTGCTATTATCGGAATATTATACACGGTGCTATTCTGGTCATTTCCCTTAAGGTAGTTGTCGTGCTGTAAGCATACGATCAGAAAATTTTAAATTTTTGTATACTTATTAAGGACATGACAATACAATTATCCTTAAAATTTGAAGTCGATTGACCGTCTATAAACCGAGATAAATTCAATTAAAAATTGGATAATTAACATGGATTGTATACGCTTTCTGTAGTAATGCACCAGTTTCTTGGTTATAAAAAAAACTAACTGTCAGAAGCTTTCAAAAAACGTCTTTTAATGTATTTTTGCTGGCAACGCTGTACGCGAGTATAGATATTATTTCCGCAGTAAATTCAAACACACTGATTTAGTCTCCAATATATCTATTGGTTGAGCATAAGCAACGTTGCCGGATTAAAACTTATGAAAATATTTGAAAGTATTACGTAAAGGTAACGTCTCCAGGGTATAGTCTTGCGAAAAAATCTCGTATACTTTTACGGTGCGTATAATCTAAAAATTTTTGACAATATTGTACCACGACAACTACCTTAAACGAATTTTGTATACCGTGTTTTTTAAAAACCGCACCAACCTATAACTTTTTTATGTATAGATTTAAAATTTTTATAAGGTATTTATGCTATTATTTGCATTGCTATAGCTGCTCTCACTTCCGGAAGAAACCGGAAGTGACATCAACTTTTGATTTTCAAATAGAACACCCTATATAGTTTTTAATATTCGAATAGAGAAAATGGCAATTTTATGACCGA